AGCATGGCTAGGCATTTCGGGCATACTTAGTTTTATTCTTAATTGTAAAATATTACAAATTATGAGGTAAGTTGGTATTATGGCTAAGTGACTAAATACTAGTTTGTGAGTTTAGCAATATGAATGCTTTTGTTTTGGCACAGTACATAGTTTCAGTATTGGAGTATCACAGGATTCATTATTTTAAGACTGAGATTAATATTTCTGTTTATGGTCAAATGAGTGAGTGAGTGTAAGTGTGAACCACCAGGTGGTATTCGTGTAGTTAGTTGACGGGGTGTATCAGGGAGATAAGATGTTTTCTAATGGTAGTTTTGAAGGTGATGAATGTGTCTGCAGTTCTAGAGTTCTCAGGTAGGGTATTCCAGATTTTAGGGCCTTTGACATACATTGAATTTTTGTAAAGGTTTAGTCGGACACGAGGAATGTCGTAGAGATGTCTGTGTCTGGTGTTATGCCTGTGGGTTCTGTCACAACTATCAAGAAAGCGTTTTAGGTCAAGGTCGATATTAGAGTTTAAGGCCCTGTAGATGTAGATTGCACAGTAGTAAGTGTGGATGTACTGAACTGGGAGTAAGTTTAGATCTATGAAGAGTGGGGGGGTGTGTTGCCAGGGATGGGATTTAGTGATTATTCTTACTGCAGCTTTTTGTTGGGTTATTATTGGCTTTAGGTGTGTTGCTGCAGTTGATCCCCAAGCACAAATAGCATAGGTGAGGTATGGATAAATAAGTGAGTGGTATAGTGTGAGAAGGGCATTTTGCGGCATGTAGTATCATATCTTGGAGAGGATCCCAACCGTTTTGGATACTTTTTTGGCTATATGCTGGATATGGGTGCTGAAATTCAGGTTGTTGTCAAGGTATAAGCCTAGGAATTTTCCCCCATTATTTCTGGTAATTAGAGTGTTGTCAATCTTAATGTTAATTTGTGCATCTCCTGCTCTGCTACCAAACATAATATAGTAGGTTTTGTCAGTGTTAAGCGTAAGTTTATTGGCTGTCATCCAAGTCAATATTTTAATCAGCTCCTCATTCACAATGGTGTTGAGGGTGGCAAGATTAGGGTGAGAGATGACATAAGTCGTGTCATCAGCAAAGAGAATGGGTTTCAGGTGTTGGGATACGTTTGGAAGGTCATTGATGTATATGAGGAAGAGCAGGGGTCCAAGGACACTTCCCTGCAGAACTCCAGTATCAAGTGGCCGTGTTGCTGATGCTGTGTCTTTAATGGTGACGTACTGATGAAGATAAACTGGTGAATCACAGCTGGATATTCATCAAGAAGGCTGATGAAGGTGAAGATAAACTGATGAATCACAGCTGGATATTCATCAAGAAGGCTGATGAAGGTGAAGATAAACTGGTGAATCACAGCTGGATATTCATCAAGAAGACTGATGAAGGCGAAGATAAACTGGTGAATCACAGCTACACATTCATCATCAAGAAGGTTGTTGAAGGTGAAGATAAACTGGTAAATCACAGCTGGATAATCATCATCAAGAAGGCTGTTGTAGGTGAAGTTAAACTGGTGAATCACAGCTGGATATTCATCATCAAGAAGGTTGATGAAGATGAAGATAAACTGGTGAATCACAGCTGGATAATCATCATCAAGAAGGTTGATGGTGAAGATAAACTGGTGAATCACAGCTGGATAATCATCAGGAAGGTTGATGTGGAAAGTTGCATTTAGCTGAATGTATCATTATATACATAACAGTAAATGAACATAGATAATTATTATCTATCAGTTAGACAAGTAGGAATTTGGGACACCTAGGTCGCAAAAAATGTCCCCCTTCGATACCTACCACTGTCATATCCACAAGTTGCTCTGGACCTATTACTTACAAATGAAAAATACATCACCAGGAATGCTGGTAAATATATAAATTTGTGGACTGTATATTAAATTAATAAAGAATGATTATATATAAACACATTTACATAACAGAAGGAGAATATCTTAAAAACTCACCAATTTGACTGGAGATTAAGGTGTATCATACTCAGAAAACCCCCCTGTCTACATTCATGATAATAATACTGGCCAGAACTATAAACATAATATAGACATGACTTAGCTGGGGTTCCTGGAGCTGTCTTGTCCAGTCGCCTGATATCTCAAGTTATGCAGGAATGCACATCCAACAATTTTGTCTCCTATTTGAGAGGTGTCAGCCTAATTTTAACCTCTAGAGCACGAAAATTCCTTCACATTACACTAACGTTGCATCCAATTCAAAAAATCAAAATGGCGACTCTCCCTTCTCCCCAGGCTCAGTTTCCCATTTTCTATGACATAAATGTTATTAAATACAGTATAGTTATCTATATACATATAAATACTGAATTTCTGGAAAATATATACAGTATTTTCCACAGTTGATGAAGGTGAAGATAAACTGGTGAATCACAGCTAGATAATCATCATCAATAATCACTAAGAATAATCACTAAATCCCATCCCTGGCAACACCCCCCCCCACTCTTCATAGACCTAAACTTACTCCCAGTTCAGTACATCCACACTTACTACTGTGCAATCTACATCTACAGGGCCTTAAACTCTAATATCAACCTTGACCTAAAACGCTTTCTTGATAGTTGTGACAGAACCCACAGGCATAACACCAGACACAAACATCTCTACGACATTCCCCGTGTCCGACTAAACCTTTACAAAAATTCAATGTATGTCAAAGGCCCTAAAATCTGGAATACCCTACCTGAGAACTCTAGAACTGCAGACACATTCATCACCTTCAAAACTACCATTAGAAAACATCTTATCTCCCTGATACACCCCGTCAACTAACTACACGAATACCACCTGGTGGTTCACACTTACACTCACTCACTCATTTGACCATAAACAGAAATATTAATCTCAATCTTAAAATAATGAATCCTGTGATACTCCAATACTGAAACTATGTACTGTGCCAAAACAAAAGCATTCACATTGCTAAACTCACAAACTAGTATTTAGTCACTTAGCCATAATACCAACTTACCTCATAATTTGCAATATTTTACAATTAAGAATAAAACTAAGTCTGCCCGAAATGCCTAGCCATGCTAAGCGTTCTAGTGGTACACTCTGTAATCACAATTTTACTACATGTAAACCACACAATAACCAAATTTCTGTAAACTCAGCATTGTAATCCTTATAGAGAATAAACTTTGAAGAAGGTTGATGAAGGTGAAGATCAACTGGTGAATCACAGCTGAATATTCATCATAAAGAAGGCTGATGAAGGTGAAGATAAACTGGTGAATCACAGCTGGATGTTCATCATCAAGAAGGTTGTTGAAGGTGAACATAAACTGGTGAATCACAGCTAGATATTCATCATCACGAAGGTTGACGAAGATGAAGATAAACTGGTGAATCACAGCTGGATAATCAAGAAGGTTGGTGAAGGTGAAAATTAACTGGTGAATCACAGCTAGATATTCATCATCAAGAAGGTTGATGATGAAGATAAACTGGTGAATCACAGCTGGATAATCAGCAAGAAGGTTGATGAAAGTGAAGATCAACTGGTGAATCACAGCTGGATATGCATCATCAAGAAGGTTGTTGATGGTGAAGGTAAACTGGTGAATCACAGCTGGATATTCATCATCAAGAAGGTTGTTGAAGGTGAATATAAACTGGTGAATCACAGCTGGATATTCATCATCAAGAAGGTTGTTGAAGGTGAATATAAACTGGTGAATCACATCTGGATATTCATCATCAAGAAGGTTGATGAAGGTGAAGATAAACTGGTGAATCACAGTTGGATAATCATCATCAAGAAGGTGGATGAAGGTGAAGATAAGCTGGTGAATCACAGCTGGATAATCATCAAGAAGGTTGATGAAGGTGAAGATAAACTGGTGAATCACAGCTAGATATTCATCATCAAGAAGGTTGATGAAGATGAAGATAAACTGGTGAATCACAGCTGGATAATCATCAAGAAGGTTGATGAAGGTGAAGATAAACTGGTGAATCACACTGGATATTCATCATCAAGAAGGCTGATGAAGGTGAAGATAAACTAGTGAATCACAGCTGGATATTCATCGTCAAGAACGTTGTTGAAGGTGAATATAAACTTGTGAATCACATCTGGATATTCATCAAGAAGGTTGTTGAAGGTGAATATAAACTGGCGAATCATAGCTGGATATTCATCATCAAGAAGGTTGTTGAAGGTGAATATAAACTGGTGAATCACAGCTGGATAATCATCAAGAAGGTTGATGAAGGTGAAGATAAACTGGTGAATCATAGCTGGATATTCATCGTCAAGAAGGTTGTTGAAGGTGAATATAAACTGGTGAATCACAGCTGGATAATCATCAAGAAGGTTGAAGACGAATATAAACTGGTGAATCACAGCTGGATAATCATCAAGAAGGTTGATGAAGATGAATATAAAACGGGAATCACAGCTGGATAATCATCAAGAAGGTTGATGAAGATGAATATAAACTGGTGAATCACAGCTGGATAATCATCAAGAAGGTTGATGAAGGTGAATATAAACTGGTGAATCACAGCTGGATAATCATCAAGAAGGTTGATGAAGATGAAGATAAACTGGTGAATCACAGCTGGATAATCATCAAGAAGGGTTTGATGAAGGTAATATAAACGGGTGAATCACAGCTGGATAATCTTTAAAGAAGGTTTGATGAAGATGAATATAAACTGGTGAATCACAGCTGGATAATCATCAAGAAGGTTGATGAAGATGAATATAAACTGGTGAATCACAGCTGGATAATCATCAAGAAGGTTGATGAAGATGAATATAAACTGGTGAATCACAGCTGGATAATCATCAAGAAGGTTGATGAAGGTGAATATAAACTGGTGAATCACAGCTGGATAATCATCAAGAAGGTTGATGAAGAGAAGATAAACTGGTGAATCACAGCTGGATAATCATCAAGAAGGTTGATGAAGATGAAGATAAACTGGTGAATCACAGCTGGAGTCAACACTTCCTACGAAACTCTTCCTCAAACTCAACATTTCATTAATTAGGTTACCTGTACTAGTGTTAAAGACATGTACTAGCAGGTGAACAATAGCACGAGAATATACAAGACTGAAGTATGTTACAAGTAACATATATAATACATCACACAAGTTGTAAATAACATTTGTAAAATAAAGTGAAGATGTTAGAACACAGTCAGGTGGACAACAACAGTGACGTGTCTCCTTTATGTCACATATTGTGGCTCCCCAGCCGCCCTTGCGGGTTTGTGACCTTTTGTGATACATATCCTTCATGGTCGATCACACTCGCGGATCTTGATCCAAGGAACTACAGTTATCCTCATTTATTCTGGATCTAAACTTACCCAAAAATTGACCCCTACGGGTTTACGCTTCTCAGTGATTCATAGTAAGTTTATTTAAGTTTACATAAGTACAAGTATCATACATAGTAACGTGTAAATTACCCAGGATAACCCAGGGTAGGGAGTGTTAGCAGCCCAGGATAACCCAGGCTAGGGAGTGTTAGCCAACTAGGATAACCCAGGGTAGGGAGTGTTAGCCACCAGGATAACCCAGGGTAGGGAGTGTTAGCCACCCAGGATAACCCAGGCTAGGGAGTGTTAGCCACCCAGGATAACCCAGGCTAGGGAGTGTTAGCCAACCAGGATAACCCAAGGTAGGGAGTGTTAGCCAACCAGGATAACCCAGGGTAGGGAGTGTTAGCCAACCAGGATAACCCAGGGTAGGGAGTGTTAGCCAACCAGGATAACCCAGGGTAGGGAGTGTTAGCCACCCAGGATAACCCAGGCTAGGGAGTGTTAGCCACCCAGGATAACCCAGGCTAGGGAGTGTTAGCCACCCAGGATAACCCAGGCTAGGGAGTGTTAGCCAACCAGGATAACCCAAGGTAGGGAGTGTTAGCCAACCAGGATAACCCAGGGTAGGGAGTGTTAGCCAACCAGGATAACCCAGGGTAGGGAGTGTTAGCCAACCAGGATAACCCAGGGTAGGGAGTGTTAGCCAACCAGGATAACCCAGGGTAGGGGGTGTTAGCCAACCCGGATAACCCAGGGGAGGGAGTGTTAGCCAACCAGGATAACCCGGTAGGGAGTGTTAGCCAACCAGGATAACCCAGGGTAGGGAGTGTTAGCCAACCAGGATAACCCAGGGTAGGGAGTGTTAGCCAACCAGGATAACCCAGGGTAGGGAGTGTTAGCCAACCCGGATAACCCAGGGTAGGGAGTGTTAGCCAACTAGGATAACCCAGGCTAGGGAGTATTAGCCTACCAGGATAACCCAGGGTAGGGAGTGTTAGCCAACGAGGATAACCCAGGCTAGGGAGTGTTAGCCAACCAGGATAACCCAGGCTAGGGAGTGTTAGCCACCCAGGATAACCCAGGGTTTGGGAGGTTAGCCAACCAGGATAACCCAGGGGTAGGGAGTGTTAGCCAGCCAGATAACCCAGGGTGGAGTGTTAGCAACCAGGATAACCAGGGTAGGGAGTTTAGCCAGCCAGGATAACCCAGGGTAGGGGGTTTTTAGCAACCCAGATAACCCAGGCTAGGGAGTGTTAGCCACCCGGATAAAACCCGGCTAGGGAGTGTTAGCCAACCAGGATAACCCAGGGTAGGGAGTGTTAGCCAGCCAGGATAACCCAGGGTAGGGAGTGTTAGCAACCCAGGATAACCCAGGGTAGGGAGTGTTAGCAACCCAGGATAACCCAGGCTAGGGAGTGTTAGCCAACCAGGATAACCCAGGCTAGGGAGTGTTAGCCAACCAGGATAACCCAGGGTAGGGAGTGTTAGCCACCCAGGATAACCCAGGCTAGGGAGTGTTAGCCAACCAGGATAACCCAGGGTAGGGAGTGTTAGCCAGCCAGGATAACCCAGGGTAGGGAGTGTTAGCAAAACCCCGGATAACCCAGGTAGGGAGTGTTAGCCAACCCGGATAACCCAGGCCCAGGGAGTGTTAGCCAACCAGGATAACCCAGGGTAGGGAGTGTTAGCCAGCCAGGGTAACCCCGGGTAGGGAGTGTTAGCAAAACCCCGGATAACCCCGGCTAGGGAGTGTTAGCCAACCAGGATAACCCAGGCTAGGGAGTGTTAGCCACCCTGGATAACCCAGGCTAGGGAGTGTTAGCCAACCAGGATAACCCAGGGTAGGGAGTGTTAGCAACCCAGGATAACCCAGGCTAGGGAGTGTTAGCCAACCAGGATAACCCAGGCTAGGGAGTGTTAGCCACCCAGGATAACCCAGGCTAGGGAGTGTTAGCCAACCAGGATAACCCAGGGTAGGGAGTGTTAGCCAGCCAGGATAACCCAGGGTAGTGATTGTTAGCAACCCAGGATAACCCAGGCTAGGGAGTGTTAGCCAACCAGGATAACCCAGGGTAGGGAGTGTTAGCCAGCCAGGATAACCCAGGGTAGGGAGTGTTAGCCAGCCAGGATAACCCAGGGTAGGGAGTGTTAGCCAGCCAGGATAACCCAGGGTAGGGAGTGTTAGCCAGCCAGGATAACCCAGGGTAGGGAGTGTTAGCCACCCAGGATAACCCAGGGCAGGGAGTGTTAGCCAGCCAGGATAACCCAGGGTAGGGAGTGTTAGCCAACCAGGATAACCCAGGCTAGGGAGTGTTAGCCACCCAGGATAACCCAGGCTAGGGAGTGTTAGCCACCCAGGATAACCCAGGCTAGGGAGTGTTAGCCAACCAGGATAACCCAGGGTAGGGAGTGTTAGCCAGCCAGGATAACCCAGGGTAGGGAGTGTTAGCAACCCAGGATAACCCAGGCTAGGGAGTGTTAGCCACCCAGGATAACCCAGGGTAGGGAGTGTTAGCCACCCAGGATAACCCAGGCTAGGGAGTGTTAGCCACCCAGGATAACCCAGGCTGGGGAGTGTTAGCCAACCAGGATAACCCAGGGTAGGGAGTGTTAGCCAGCCAGGATAACCCAGGGTAGGGAGTGTTAGCCACCCACAATAACCCAGGGTAGGAGGTGTTAGCCAGCCAGGATAACCCAGCTGGGGGTTTATACCAACCAGGATAACCCGGCTAGGATGTTAGCCAACCAGATACCCCAGGTAGGGTGTTAGCCAGCCAGGATAACCCGGGTAGGTGTTAGCCAGCCAGGAAACCCAGGGTAGGGGTGTTGCCAGCCAGGATAACCCAGGGTAGGGAGTGTTAGCCACCGGATAACCCAGGGTAGGAGTGTTTGCCACCCAGATAACCAGGGGGGAGGGAGTGTTAGCCAGGCCAGGATAACCCAGGGTAGGGATGTTAGCCAGCCAGGGTAACCCAGGGTAGAAATGTTAGCCCGCCCGGATAACCCAGGGTTAGGGAGTGTTAGCCACCACGGTAACCCAGGGTAGGGGAGTGTTTGCCAGCCAGGATAACCCAGGGTAAAGGGGGTGTTGCCAGCCAGGATAACCCAGGGAGGAGTTTTTAGCCACCCAGGAAACCCAGGGTAAGGAGTGTTTAGCCACCCTCCAATAACCAAAAGGGTAGGGAGTGTTAGCCACCCCCGATAACCCAGGGTAGGGAGTGTTAGCCAGCCAGGGTAAAACCCCCCGGGTAGGGAGTGTTAGCAACCCAGGATAACCCAGGCTAGGGGGTGTTAGCCCCAGGATAACCCAGGGTAAAGGGGGTGTTAGCCACCCAGGATAACCCAGGCTAGGGAGTGTTAGCCACCAGATAACCCAGGCTGGGGAGTGTTAGCCAACCAGGAAACCCAGGGTAGGGAGTGTTGCCAGCCCCGGATAACCCAGGTAGGGAAATGTTAGCACCCACAATAACCCAGGGGAGGGAGTGTTAGCCAGCCAGGATAACCCAGGCTAGGGAGTGTTAGCCAACCAGGGTAACCCAGGGGTAGGGAGTGTTAGCCAACCAGGATAACCCAGGTAGGGGGTGTTTTGCCAGCCAGGATAACCCAGGGGAGGGAGTGTTAGCCCAGCCAGATAACCCAGGGTAGGGAGTGTTAGCCACCCAGGATAACCCAGGGTAGGGAGTGTTAGCCAGCCAGGATAACCCAGGGTAGGGAGTGTTAGCCAGCCAGGATAACCCAGGGTAGGAAGTGTTTTGCCCGCCAGGATAACCCAGGGTAGGAGTGTTAGCCACCCAGGATAACCCAGGGTAGGGAGTGTTAGCCCCCCCACGGTAACCCAGGGAGGGGTGTTAGCCAGCCAGGAAACCCAGGGTAGGGAGTGTTAGCCAGCCAGGATAACCCAGGGTAGGGAGCATTAGCCACCCAGGATAACCCAGGGTAAGGAGTGTTAGCCACCCAGGATAACCAAGGGTAGGGAGTGTTAGCCACCCACGATAACCCAGGGTAGGGAGTGTTAGCCACCCAGGGTAGCCCTCTTCGATCTTCAAAATCCTAAACACTGAAAATAGTTTACTTTTAAAATATTAATTTTGGAAATTAAAGAAAAACCCTGGCCTTTTTTCTGACCAATTATCCTTAAAACTATTTCATTTAATCCTTTCGTACTAAAATAACTTCATACTCCTTAGAAGATAGAAACCAACCTGGCTCATGCTGGTCTGAACTCAAATCATGTAAAAATTTAAAGGTCGAACAGACCTTCTCCTGTAACTGCTGCATCACAAAGAAATTTTTAATTCAACATCGAGGTCGCAAACTCTTTTGTCGATAAGAACTCTCAAAAAAAATTACGCTGTTATCCCTAAAGTAATTTACTCTCTAATCCTTAAAAGGGATCATATAAACAAATATCTCTGATTAAAACAAAAAAGTTATATAACTTATATTCTAGTCACCCCAACTAAACACCTTGCTAATAATGAATTTTATTATTCTAAATCACTCTTAACTAACCATGTGTACAAACTTTATAGGGTCTTATCATCCCTCTAACCTATTTAAGCCTTTTCACTTAAAAGTTAAATTCAATTAATGAGATAGGACAGCTTTCTTCTCGTCCAACCATTCATTCCAGCCTCCAATTAAAAGACTAATGATTATGCTACCTTTGCATGGTCATAATACCGCGGCCTTTCAGTTCTCAACGGGCAGGTCAGACTCTATATAACTCTCATACAGACATGTTTTTGATAAACAGGCGGACGAACTTTTTGCCGAATTCCTCTACACTCGCCACTCTCTCCAATAAATTTCACTTAATTTTCCAAAATTTATCATAGATAAACATTATATACTAATATATTCACTTAAAATTTCTAAACTAAATTTATAAAAAGTTTTCTCTACATACTTAAAAAATCAATAAATATTCTCTTCACTATACCTCAGGTATAACCCCTGATAAACATGGCTACCTCTAAGCCTAGTTAAGCAACTTTTCTATTTATTTTATAACTAAAATCATTAAATAAAGAGTTTGCCCCCTTTATTCCTAAACTTTGCCTTACTTTAACACAAAGAAAAAATTAAT